AACAACACAATTCCACTGTCAGACACCAGGGACACGTTCATACACAACAACACAATTCCACTGTCAGACACCAGGGACACGTTCATACACAACAACACAATTCCACTGTCAGACACTAGGGACACGTTCATACACAACAACACAATTCCACTGTCAGACACTAGGGACACGTTCATACACAACAACACAATTCCACTGTCAGACACTAGGGACACGTTCATACACAACAACACAATTCCACTGTCAGACACCAGGGACACGTTCATACACAACAACACAATTCCACTGTCAGACACCAGGGACACGTTCATACACAACAACACAATTCCACTGTCAGACACTAGGGACACGTTCATACACAACACACAACACAAACAACACAATTCCACTGTCAGACACCAGGGACACGTTCATACACAACAAATTCACAATTCCACTTCCACTGACAGACACTAGGACACGTTTATACACAACAACACAATTCCACTGTCCAGACACGTTTCATACACAACAACACAATTCCACTGTCAGACACCAGGGACACGTTCATACACAACAACACAATTCCACTGTCAGACACCAGGGACACGTTCATACACAACAACACAATTCCACTGCCAGACACTAGGGACACGTTCATACACAACAACACAATTCCACTGTCAGACACTAGGGACACGTTTATACACAACAACATAATTCCACTGTCAGACACTAGGGACACGTTTTAACACAACAACACAATTCCACTGTCAGACACTAGGGACACGTTCATACACAACAACACAATTCCAACACTGTCAGACACTAGGGACACGTTCATACACAACAACACAATTCCACTCAGACACTAGACACGTTCATACACAACAACACAATTCCACTGTCAGACACTAGGGACACGTTCATACACAACAACACAATTCCACTGTCAGACACTAGGGACACGTTTATACACAACAACACAATTCCACTGTCAGACACTAGGGACACGTTCATACACAACAACACAATTCCACTGTCAGACACTAGGGACACGTTCATACACAACAACACAATTCCACTGTCAGACACTAGAGACACGTTCATACACAACAACACAATTCCACTGTCAGACACCAGGGACACGTTCATACACAACAACACAATTCCACTGTCAGACACCAGGGACACGTTCATACACAACAACACAATTCCATACACACAAACACAATTCCACTGTCAGACACTAGGGAGACACGTTTATACACAACAACACAATTCCACTGTCAGACACTAGGGACACGTTCATACACAACAACACAATTCCACTGTCAGACACTAGAGACACGTTCATTCCACACAACACTAGAGACATAACAACAACACAATTCCACTGTCAGACACTAGAGACACGTTTATACACAAACAACACAATTCCACTGTCAGACACACGTAGGGACACGTTTATACACAACAACACAATTCCACTGTCAGACACCAGGGACACGTTCATACACAACAACACAATTCCACTGTCAGACACTAGGGACACGTTCATACACAACAACACAATTCCACTGTCAGACACTAGAGACACGTTCATACACAACAACATAATTCCACAGCCAGACACCAGGGACACGTTCATACACAACAACACAATTCCACTGTCAGAATTTAGGGACACGTTCATACACAACAACACAATTCCACTGTCAGACACTAGAGACACGTTCATACACAACAACACAATTCCACTGTCAGACACCAGGGACACGTTCATACACAACAACACAATTCCACTGTCAGACACTAGAGACACGTTCATACACAACAACACAATTCCACTGTCAGACACTAGAGACACGTTCATACACAACAACACAATTCCACTGTCAGACACTAGAGACACGTTCATACACAACAACACAATTCCACTGTCAGACACTAGAGACACGTACATACACAACAACACAATTCCACTGTCAGACACTAGAGACACGTACATACACAACAACACAATTCCACTGTCAGACACTAGAGACACGTACATACACAACAACACAATTCCACTGTCAGACACTAGAGACACGTTCATACACAACAACACAATTCCACTGTCAGACACTAGAGACACGTTCATACACAACAACACAATTCCACTGTCAGACACTAGAGACACGTTCATACACAACAACACAATTCCACTGTCAGACACTAGAGACACGTTTATACACAACAACATAATTCCACTGTCAGACACTAGAGACACGTTTATACACAACAAAACAATTCCACTGTCAGACACTAGAGACACGTTCATACACAACAACACAATTCCACTGTCAGACACTAAAGACACGTTCATACACAACAACATAATTCCACTGTCAGACACCAGTGACACGTTCATACACAACAACACAATTCCACTGTCAGACACCAGTGACACGTTCATACACAACAACACAATTCCACTGTCAGACACTAGGGACACGTTCATACACAACAACACAATTCCACTGTCAGACACTAGAGACACGTTCATACACAACAACATAATTCCACTGTCAGACACCAGGGACACGTTCATACACAACAACACAATTCCACTGTCAGACACTAGAGCGACACGTTTCATACACAACAACACAAATTCCACACAACAGACACTAGAGACACGTTCATACACGTTCATACACAACAACACAATTCCACTGTCAGACACTAGGGACACGTTCATACACAACAACACAATTCAACTGTCAGACTGTCAGACACTAGACAACACGTTCAACTGTCAGACACTAGAGACACGTTCATACACAACAACATAATTCCACTGTCAGACTTTAGGGACACGTTCATACACAACAACACAATTCCACTGTCAGTCTTTAGGGACACGTTCATACACAACAACATAATTCCACTGTCAGACACTAGAGACACGTACATACACAACAACACAATTCCACTGTCAGACACCAGGGACACGTTCATACACAACAACACAATTCCACTGTCAGACACTGGAGACACGTTCATACACAACAACACAATTCCACTGTCAGACACTAGGGACACGTTTATACACAACAACACAATTCCCCTACAAGACACTAGAGACACGTTCATACACAACAACAGAATTCCACTACAAGACACTGGAGACACGTTCATACACAACAACACAATTCCACTGTCAGACACTAGAGACACGTTCATACACAACAACATAATTCCACTGTCAGACTTTAGGGACACGTTCATACACAACAACACAATTCCACTGTCAGACACTAGAGACACGTACATACACAACAACACAATTCCATTGTCAGACACTAGAGACACGTTCATACACAACAACACAATTACCCTACAAGACACCAGGGACAAGTTCATACACAACAACACAATTCCACTGTCAGACACCAGGGACACGTTCATACACAACAACACAATTCCACTACAAGACACCAGGGACAAGTTCATACACAACAACACAATTCCACTGTCAGACACTAGAGACACGTTCATACACAACAACATAATTCCACTGTCAGACACTAGAGACACGTTCATACCCAACAACACAATTCCACTGTCAGACACCAGGGACACGTTCATACACAAAAACACAATTCCACTGTCAGACACCAGGGACACGTTCATACACAAAAACACAATTCCACTGTCAGACACCAGGGACACGTTCATACACAAAAACACAATTCCACTGTCAGACACCAGGGACATGTTCATACACAACAACACAATTCCACTGTCAGACACCAGAGACACGTTCATACACAAAAACACAATTCCACTGTCAGACACCAGGGACATGTTCATACACAACAACACAATTCCACTGTCAGACACCAGGGACACGTTCATACACAAAAACACAATTCCACTGTCAGACACCAGGGACACGTTCATACACAAAAACACAATTCCACTGTCAGACACCAGGGACATGTTCATACACAACAACACAATTCCACTGTCAGACACCAGAGACACGTTCATACACAAAAACACAATTCCACTGTCAGAAACCAGAGACACGTTCATACACAACAACACAATTCCACTGTCAGACACCAGAGACAAGTTCATACACAACAACACAATTCCAGTTCCAGACACCAGGGACACGTTCATACACAACAACACAATTCCACTGTCAGACACTTGGGACACGTTCATACACAACAACACAATTCCACTGTCAGACACTAGAGACAAGTTTATACACAACAACACAATTTCACTGTCAGACACCAGGGACACGTTCATACACAACAACACAATTCCACTGTCAGACACTAGGGACAAGTTCATACACAACAAAAATACAATTCCTCTGTCAGACACAGGGACACGTTCATACACAACAACACAATTCCACTGTCAGACACTAGAGACACGTTTATACACAACAACATAATTCCACTGTCAGACACTGGAGACACGTTCATACACAACAACACAATTCCTCTGCCAGATACCAGGGACACGTTCATACACAACAAACACAATTCCACTGCCAGACACCAGGGACAAGTTTATACACAAAAACACAACTGCTAATGAACAGTTGCAAGTAATTCCTTATCTGGAATGTATGAATCAAGATGCTTCTGGTCTGATCAAGCAACAACTATAACAACAGTAGTTTGTCTAGTCCGATCAGCAACCGATTTGCCGTTGGTGATGTTACACGCTTCAAATCGTCTGTGTCGAGCGAGGCTTAGTTGGAGTCTATGGATGTCATATTTGACCGGAATGGTGCCAGGCTCAAGTCACACTCGATATGCAACGAGATGAAACTCACAGAAGCAACCTTTACTGCCCAGGGGAAGATCTGCTGTCTGGTTGGGATGAGCTCACTAAGAGATACAGACAAGAATTCTCGGCTTATATAGATAAGATTTTCAAATACAGTTTTCCTTGCAGAAAACACACCGTCCATTGCTGAACTTGAAAGGGAGACGCCGACAGTGTTCATGGAACTGAAACTTAGAATGTCATGGCCAGATTTCTGTCAGAACCAGGACAAGATCCGAGAAGAGCTTGCATCACTGCTGCAGGCAGGAGCCGGGCATTTGGCCGTCTCATCCGACCAGGTTGGTGTCCGTCCCTGCTTGACTGTTTTTGTGGCTTGCAGGTCTCTGGGAGACTGCTCCCACGACTTTAACAACTAGCTCCCGTTTCTTTACTTTCTTCTCAGCCTTCATTGGTCTTGTTACCTAACTTGAGTTTTGCTTGCATATCAGCTTTACAGACCTAGCTAATTTCTATGCAAGCTGTTGGTTTTCCTGCATCTCAGGCAGATACATCATGATTTGCAAGGAGATATCCCCTGTTAGTAATATCGCCACATTACGACATGCTTGTTGGGGCAGCAGTGGATCTATTCTCACTCCCGACCCCGACCCCATGGGGGGCATAAACCCACACATGAAAGATACAGCCAGGGGTTTCAAACTTTAACCAGCTGTAACTTCCTCCTTATATCTGGCGTGTCTCATCTCATATACCCTGGTATTATATCTGGCGTGTCTCATCTCATATACCCTGGTATTATATCTGGCGTGTCTCATCTCATATACCCTGGTATTATATCTGGCGTGTCTCATCTCATATACCCTGGTATTATATCTGGCGTGACTCATCTCATATACCCTGGTATTATATCTGGCGTGTCTCATCTCATATACCCTGGTATTATATCTGGCGTGTCTCATCTCATATACCCTGGTATTATATCTGGCGTGTCTCATCTCATATACCCTGGTATTATATCTGGCGTGTCTCATCTCATATACCCTGGTATTATATCTGGCGTGTCTCATCTCATATACCCTGGTATTATATCTGGCGTGTCTCATCTCATATACCCGGGTATTATATCTGGCGTGACTCATCTCATATACCCTGGTATTATATCTGGCGTGTCTCATCTCATATACCTTGGTATTATATCTGGCGTGTCTCATCTCATATACCTTGGTATTATATCTGGCGTGTCTCATCTTATATACCTTGGTATTATATCTGGCGTGTCTCATCTCATATACCTTGGTATTATATCTGGCGTGACTCATCTCATATACCCTGGTATTATATCTGGCGTGACTCATCTCATATACCCTGGTATTATATCTGACGTGTCTCATCTCATATACCCTGGTATTATATCTGACGTGTCTCATCTCATATACCCTGGTATTATATCTGGCGTGTCTCATCTCATATACCCGGGTATTATATCTGGCGTGTCTCATCTCATATACCCGGGTATTATATCTGGCGTGTCTCATCTCATATGTTAATTGTTTGTGTATGCATGGGAATGAGAGTGTATATATGAACCCCAGTGCTGTTTGATACGGACCCTAACGCTGTTTGATATGGACCCTAACGCTGTTTGATATGGACCCTAACGCTGTTTGATATGGACCCTAACGCTGTTTGATATGGACCCTAACGCTGTTTGATATGGACCCTAATGCTGTTTGATATAGACCCTAATGCTGTTTGATATAGACCCTAATGCTGTTTGATATGGACCCTAATGTTGTTTGATATAGACCCTAACGCTGTTTGATATAGACCCTAATGCTATTTGATATAGACCCTAATGTTATTTGATATAGACCCTAATGCTATTTGATATAGACCCTAATGCTATTTGATATAGACCCTAATGCTATTTGATATAGACCCTATTGCTGTTTGATATGGACCCTAACGCTGTTTGATATAGACCCTAATGCTGTTTGATATAGACCCTAATGCTGTTTGATATGGACCCCAGTGCTGTTTGATATGGATCCTAATGGTGTTTGATATGCACCCCAGTGCTGTTTGATATTAACCCTAATGCTGCTTGATATTAAGCCTAATGCTGTTTGATATTAACCCTAATGCTGTTTGATATTAACCCTAATGCTGTTTGATATTAACCCTAATGCTGTTTGATATTACCCTAATGCTGCTTGATATTAACCCTAATGCTGTTTGATATGAACGCCAATGCTGTTTGATATGGACCCCAGTGCTGCTTGATATGGACCTAAATGCTGTTTGATATGAAGCCCAATGCTGTTTGATATGAAGCCCAATGCTGTTTGATATGAAGCCCAATGCTGTTTGATAAGGACCTCAATGCTGTATAATATGAAACCTAATGCTGTTTGATATGGACCCCAATGCTGTTTGATATGGACCCCAGTGATGTTTGATATGGACCCCAATGCTGTTTGATATGAACCCCAATGCTGTTAGATATGGACCCCTGTGCTGTTAGATATGGACCCCAGTGCTGTTAGATATGGACCCCAGTGCTGTTAGATATGGACCCCTGTGCTGTTAGATATGGACCCCTGTGCTGTTTGATATCAACCCCAATGCTCTTTGATATGGACCCCAATGCTGTTTGATATGGACCCCAGTGCTGTTAGATATGGACCCCTGTGCTGTTAGATATGGACCCCAGTGCTGTTAGATATGGACCCCTGTGCTGTTAGATATGGACCCCTGTGCTGTTAGATATTGACCCCTGTGCTGTTAGATATGGACCCCTGTGCTGTTAGATATGGACCAGGTAGCTGATCTGCCTCCAGGTTTTAAGCCAGTCTGCCCTCAATGAACCAGATCTCATCAGTTTCTTTCAGGCCGCATTGACGTCTCAGAATATTCCCATGTACTCGGCCTTGGGAGAACGATGGAGAAGGACGGTCAATGGGGACACCAGTTAGGAAGAGGAAGGCCGCGTTTTTCTGACCAGAAGATAAATCCCCATGGAGTCCAACTAGAGCTGTCCCTGACCAACGCGTTCAGCTCGAATGATTGAAATCGGCTCCCCACAATAACTGCAGGAACCCCCTTCCCCGCCCCCTCCTTTAGCCACATACATATACTTTCTCTTTTCTAAAGTATTTAGATACATTTCTTTTTATTTCAGATATGTTTTTATTGTTACCATTCGGCACAGAAACGTAAAAGAATAGTAATAGTAACTATTTTTATTACTTTGCACTTAAACAAGGCTTAAGCAACTTTAAGCCTACCCTTCCCCCCCACTTAATGTTTTAGGGACTGGGGGGGGATGAAGAGAGTGCCCTAGAGGGTTAAGCCATGTTTAATAGCGCAATAATAATGATAATTAAACCTAAAAACTATGTTGTTGTTGTTGTTTTTTTTGCGCATGATAACTAAAAAAAAAAACAACACACACACACACACACACACACACACACACACACACACACACACACACACAATACTACCGATCCTAAAATATTATGAGAAGGGTGAGGGGTAGTGAGCGCGGGCTTGTGAACATCCAGCCCACTGTGTGACGATTCATGCAAATTCTAGTAAAAACGTCATTAATTGTAATTGCAAACCACACATACAAGATTCTATTCACATTGATGTTCCAGATTCAGCTGATGCCCACGGAGCCAGAAGACTGCCCTAAAGTGCCCCGGCCAGGAAGCCCCGAGATATTGGTTCACATGTATCTGGTCAACAAGACTGGACAGTCGGACCCACGACTGACCCTCGATTGTGCTCACATCCTGCAGACTCAGTTGTCTACTGGCAAAGATACCGCCATCAGAACTCAGGTGAGTTCTAACATATAACTACTGTAGTTACTATATGTGAGTTGTAACATATAACTACTGTAGTTACTATATGTGAGTTGTAACATATAACTACTGTAGTTACTATATGTGAGTTGTAACATATAACTACTGTAGTTACTATATGTGAGTTGTAACATATAACTACTGTAGTTACTATATGTGAGTTGTAACATATAACTACTAGAGTTACTATATGTGAGTTGTAACATATAACTACTGTAGTTACTATATGTGAGTTGTAACATATAACTACTGTAGTTACTATATGTGAGTTGTAACATATAACTGCTGTAGTTACTATATGTGAGTTGTAACATATAACTACTGTAGTTACTTTATGAGAGTTGTAACATATAACTACTGTAGTTACTATATGTGAGTTGTAACATATAACTACTGTAGTTACTATATGTGAGTTGTAACATATAACTACTGTAGTTACTATATGTGAAGTTGTAACATATAACTACTGTAGTTACTATATGTGAGTTGTAACATATAACTACTGTAGTTACTATATGTGAGTTGTAACATATAACTACTGTAGTTACTTTATGTGAGTTGTAACATATAACTACTGTAGTTACTATATGTGAATTGTAACATATAACTACTGTAGTTACTATATGTGAGTTGTAACATATAACTACTGTAGTTACTATATGTGAGTTGTAACATATAACTACTGTAGTTACTATATGTGAGTTGTAACATATAACTACTGTAGTTACTATATGTGAGTTGTAACATATAACTACTGTACTTACTATATGTGAGTTGTAACATATAACTACTGTAGTTACTATATGTGAGTTGTAACATATAACTACTGTAGTTACTATATGTGAGTTGTAACATATAACTACTGTAGTTACTATACATTAGTTGTAATATATATCAACAATAGTTATGAAATGTGAGTTGTAACATATAACTACTGTAGTTACTATAAATTATTTGTAATATATATCAACAATAGTTATGAAATGGGAGTTGTAACATATAACTACTGTAGTTACTATATGTGAGTTGTAACATATAACTACTGTAGTTACTATATGTGAGTTGTAACATATAACTACTGTAGTTATTATGTGTGAGTTGTAACATATAACTACTGTAGTTACTATATGTGAGTTGTAACATATAACTACTGTAGTTACTATACATTAGTTGTAATATATATCAACAATAGTTACGATATGGGAGTTGTAACATATAACTACTGTAGTTACTATACATTAGTTTTGATATATATCAACAATAGTTACGATATGGGAGTTGTAACATATAACTACTGTAGTTACTATATGTGAGCTGTAACATATAACTACTGTAGTTACTATATGTGAGTTGTAACATATAACTACTGTAGTTACTATATGTTAGTTGTAACATATAACTACTGTAGTTACTATACATTACTTGTAATATATATCAACAATAGTTACGATATGTGAGTTGTAACATATAACTACTGTAGTAACTATACATTACTTGTAATATATATCAACAATAGTTACGATATGTGAGTTGTAACATATAACTACTGTAGTTACTATGCATTAGTTGTGATATATATCAACAATAGTTACGATATGGCAATAAGTAATTCTGGTGTATTAGACTCTATACAACTGACCCACTGGTACACTGGTCCTCTCTGATAACGTTCTGGGTAAGTTTGTCTCAGTGAAAGCTCGTTCTATCAATAATGGCATGTTCTGTAGGACACATGATGTCCTGGGTAAGTCTGTGTCAGTGAAAGCTCGTTCTATCAGTAATGGCATGTTCTGTAGGACACATGATGTCCTGGGTAAGTTTGTCTCAGTGAAAGCTCGTTTTATCAATAATGGCATGTTCTGTAGGACACATGATGTCCTGGGTAAGTTTGTGTCAGTGAAAGCTCGTTTTATCAATAATGGCATGTTCTGTAGGACACATGATGTCCTGGGTAAGTTTGTCTCAGTGACAGCTCGTTCTATCAATAATGGCATGTTCTGTAGGACACATGATGTCCTGAGGAGTGCCGGCTCCAACTGTCCTGTCGTCGACACTGTCACCATAAACCTGCTGCCTTCCCAGATTGTGATCGTTTTCTGTTTCTCTGCGGATCAGGTCTTACATGGGTACCAGGTAAATTGGTGGGACGTAAAGGCGGCCGGAGTGATACTGACTACATAACCCATTGAGTGCCGATCGGTCTACAAAATATAGGTCTAGCCCTACATGCCCAGTGTGCCTGAAGGCATGGAGAAGAGTCCCTTACTGGCTGTGACATGCTGTTGAAGGCCAGATGATGATGATGTGGTTTTACATAACGTCAAACTGGGACGCAAACATATCTCAGTACTGCAGCAGTAACTGCACAAGGCTTGTCTGAGTCATCCATGAAAGCTAAGTATCCCTTTCATTCAGTATCCTCCTCGCCAGGCCTAAAGTTTCAAATGTTCTGAGTGAGAACACAAATGTAAGTCTCTAACCCTTTGACTTTGGCCGTACGTCAGAACGTATCTGCTACAGGGGCGGAAAGGCAGAAACAGATGGCCCTCAAAGTTCAGAATTACCGCAGCATGATAAACTACTTAGTTTTGCTGAGGCCAGTTCCAGCAGTGGTTGTCTATCTTCATCAAAACGATCTTACACGATTGATGGGTACACACATGAAAACTTCACATTCAACGTTAGATCTCCAGTAGATGTACTTGCCACACGTTCACTGACCATCTTCTCTCTGTAGCTGATGGCAGTTCGTGTCGTCAAGGACAATCGGCTTGAGCCTACTACAGACAGCAGTTTGAGCCCTGTCCACCCAGACCAGGAGGTTGTCAACTCATTCTCTGACCCAGGAGTGACCATAGCTATTGTGCTGGCTACAGTAGGAGCCTGTTATTGTCTGGGAGTCGTTGTTCTACAGGTGAGTGCAGCCAAATAATCTCATGTCACTTGATCTTTATCATTATCATCCTCATCATTTTGCACGTTGAGCTGTGTAGGCGATCAAATCTGTCAGGCTGTCATTTGGAGTATAATATGCTTGTAACACCCCCCCCCCCCTCCAACCGCCGACCTCCCCCATCCTTTCCATCGTGTATTACCTAACTAACTTGACATCAAAAATAAAAAAAAAACAATATCTCTACACATCGTGTCTGTGACAAGTGTCATAATCCTGGATGTCAGTGACTGTATAATACCCTCCTGTCTGTGACTGTCAGTGTTGTGTCACGAGACTATTGTTGTGGGCATGTCTCCACAGATTGTCCTCCGGTATCGCAACAAGGACATCATCATCCCTCACTTCAAACACAGCTTCAGCATCAACAGTTCAGACTCTATCCAGCTGACCTCGGTCAACAAGTCCAGACCCAGTAGTGGCTTCTATAACCCTGGCTTGGATCTCAGCGATCAGGTAAGGGCTTGCATTCAGTCTCTGATCTCTGTGTCTGACGTCTCTGTGTGTCTGACGTCTCTGTGTCTAGCATCTCTGTGTCTGCCGTCTCTATGTGTCTGGCGTGTCTGTGTCTGGCGTCTCTGTGGCTGGCGTCTCTGTGTGTCTGACGTCTCTGTGTCTGACGTCTCTGTGTGTCTGACGTCTCTGTGTCTGGCATCTCTGTGTCTGGCGTCTCTGTGTCTGGCGTGTCTGTGTGTCTGACGTCTCTGTGTCTGGCGTCTCTGTGTCTGGCGTCTCTGTGTCTGACGTCTCGGTGTCTGACGTCTCTGTGTCTGGCATCTCTGTGTCTGGCGTCTCTGTGTCTGGCGTGTCTGTGTGTCTGACGTCTCTGTGTCTGGCGTCTCTGTGACTGACGTCTCTGTGTGTCTGACGTCTCTGTGTCTGGCATCTCTGTG